CTTGAATAACTCTACTGTCTCAGATTGTTATCCCATTCCCCACTTGCATGATTTCTCTCTGGATTTGGTCAGAGCTTATCACCAGATACCAGTCGCTCCTGAGGACATTGGGAAGACAGCCATTATAACACCTTTTGTCTTGTTTGAATTCCTACGAATGCCATTCGGGCTAGAAAACGCTGCACAGTCTTTTCAGCGCTTTATGGATTAAGTCGCTCAGGGCCTTGATTTTGTGTTCGTGTATATCGATGATGTACTAATTGCTAGCAAGTCTGAAGAGGAACGTAAGGATTACCTTAGCACTTTGTTTCAGGGTTTTGAACAATGCGGTGTTGCTATAAACCCTGAGAATTGCATTTTCGGTGCCTCTTCTATTCAGTTCCTGGGACATTACATAACTGCCGATGGAATCAGGCCTACTGAGGAAAAGATAGATACAATCAAAAGCTTCCCCAACCAGACTCATTGAAGAAAGTCCGACAATTTTTGGGGATGTTTAATTTCTATCAACGTTTTATTCCTTCGTATGCCTCCATCGCCCAACCTTCAACCGATCTCCTCAAAAGTGATCCTAAAAAGTTTTAGTGGCAAGCGCAAGCACACGAATCTTTCTGTAACGCTAAAGACGCTCTGTCTAAAGTCACCATGCTGTCCCACATCAACCCCGAAGCATCTCTTATCCTGTGCACAGATGCCTCCCAAGTAGCTGTGGGGGCAGTATTACCACAGAAGATGAGTGGTAAAGTCACCCGACTTGCTTTCTTTTCTAAGAAGTTAGAACCGGCTCAGACACGTTACAGCGCTTTTGGGAGAGAATTGTTGGCTATCTGTCAAGTAGTCAAGCATTTCAGTTACCTACTACAGGGTCGGCATTTCACTATTTTTACTGACCACAAGCCCCTTTGCTATGCTTTCACTGCTTCACTGGATAAACACTCTCCCAGAGAAGCCAGACAGTTGGACTATATCTCCCAATTTCCAACTGACAAACAGTACATCAAAGGTGACGCAAATGTGGTAGCTGATTCTCTTTCAAGAGGTGACATAAACCAGCTCGAAACTTCAGTAGACCTCAGTCTCTACCGGATGGCTCAGTTCCAAAGAGATGACGCTTAACTCCTAACTTGTCGCGGAAACTCTTCCTTACAGTTCAGGGACGTACCAAGTCCCTTATCAGATGCAGCTATAGTTTGAGATGTATCTACCGGCACTAACCATCCGTTTGTTCCTCTTAGATACCGAAAAGCGTTGTTTGGACACTTACATTCGCTTTCTCATCCTTCAGTACGTGCTACAGTCAGACTTATCGGCGAATGCTTCATGTGGCCTAGAATGAACACTGACATTCGGAGATAGGCACGGGAAAGCCTCCAATGCCAATGCTCCAAAGTACACCTCCACACTGTTGCAACGCCGAAGACGTTTGATTTACCGGATAAGAGATTTCAATATGATCACACTGACATTGTAGGACCATCACCAACTTCAAGAGGATACACACATATTCTGACAGCCATCGATAGATTTACTCGATGGGTTATTGCATGCCCCATAAACAACATATCTGCAGAAAATATTGCTTTGGTTTTTCTCGACTGTTGGGTGTCAAATTACGGAGTACTAACTACTATTACATCCGACCGAGGCGCTGAATTCCAATCGACAGTTTCGTGAATTAACGAGACTCCTTGGAGTGAAACATATCTCCACATACATCATATCACAAACATATCATCCGGCAGCGAATGGTCTTGTGGAAAGATTCCACAGACAACTGAAAAGCTCCCTGATGGCACAGAATGATACATCTAAGTGGAGTGAATACTTACCTTTGATTTTACTCGATATTTGATCTGCTATCAAAGAGGATTTAGGATGTACACAAGCTTAGTTCGTTTGTGGTACCAACCTAACTTTGCCTTGGCAGTTAATTCCCTCAGCCGATTCGACAGATATGAATATTGCCGGCTTCACCAACCGACTAACTTTGACAATCTCTCCGACGAGATCAGATCAACAAACGCCTGGAAACTTGCGAATTTGTCTTTCTTCTAGTCGACGCCATCAGAAAAGGATTGCAACTCCCACAAGAAGGTCCCGTCCAAGTCATTAAATGTTCAGACAAACACTTAACAGTGAACAAAAATGGAAAATGGGAGACTATTTCCATTGATCGGATCAAACCAGCCTGCACAGACAGCGGCTTTGAAGCGACATCGATAACTGCACAACCAAATAATCAGACATTTGATTCCACTCCAACGGCACTAGTTCTTATCCACCCTCCATATCAAACACGTAGTGGTCGGCAAATCAATAAAACGGCTCGTCCTGTTCATTTTGTGGACGGATAAAAAATTACATTTTCTTCGTTAGATATTAGTTTCATGACAATTACTATATCTCCGTGCACTTTGATGTCACTGTTATTATAAAAGATTACTGTCAATATAAATTTAACCGTCAACCCAGGCCCAACCTCTACTATCCTTATATCCAGGAACACATGGTAAATTTTCCAAGTGTCCCGAATCACTGGTACGACCCATGGCACCTAGGACCACCTCACTGCACTCTAACCCCGATGTACAGACACCCAGTCCAACCCCCCTATCATTCATAAAGTCTTGCGTTCCTGACGCACAAACAGAATTAGGTTATGGTGATATCTTAAACCAGTTTGTAGTATCCCGTGACTTATTCACGATATTCCTAATTAATGCACGTTCCTTAATCAATAAGATATCTGAACTAAGGACATTATTATTTATCGCCAAGCCTACTGTAGCTCTGATTACTGAATCATGGTGCTCATACTCTGTACTTGATGTGCATATAGGCATAGATGATTACACTGTACGCCGTGCAAATAGAGACTGCAAGCGTGGTGGAGGATGTCTCATATATATACATAACTCATTCGTAGCCAGTAAGGTGCAAGATGAAATACTGAACGAGGTACCTGATTCACTCTGGGTCGTCTTACAAGGAGATAAGTACAGGCTTCTCATGGGCTGTGTTTATCGAGCACCAAGCTCAACCAAAGAAACTGATGCGTTATTAGCTAAGTCATTCGCACACGCCTCATCGTTTAGTACTAGTTACAAAATAATTGCAGGGGACTTCAATCTTCCAGAAGCCAATTGGTTAAGTAGTTCCGGCCCCCAACGCTTCGACGAATTTCTTGCCACTATAGATTGTTATGGATGGTAGCAACACGTCCAGACACCTACTCGTGGTGACGTGTTGGACCTTGTGTTTTGTCATGACACAATCTCAGTCTCCACCTATGTTAGTAACAGATTTTCCAGTAGTGACCATAGAATGGTACTCTGCCCTTCTCACCACTAAATACAGGAAACGAACAGGATTCAGGGAGCTTGATATTTCGTAGTTACAAACATACAGACTGGGGATTAGTCCAAGAACTCATTCGACTCTGTCACTGAGATGAATATTTTACCACTGACTCCCTGGAGGCTATAGTGTCCCTATTTTGCAGGAATGTTGTCCTTTGTCTAGATACTGTTGCTCCTAAGAAGGTAGTGAAATTAAGTAGACACCAAGCTGAATATATTCCGAGGGCATACCAAAATAAGTTAAGGAAGTTGAAGAAACAGTACTATTCCACTAAGGATATATCACCACTGCACTCAATCCACGAGTCTCTTGAATCTATCAAGCCCCAACGCTCTCAAAAGGACCTCGACGAAGAATTAAGGGCACTTGAAAGCACCTCCAAAGTTTATAACTTAACAACACTTCTTAAAAAACGAATGCAGTCGACGAAGGACATCCCCTATTTACTTCACGACAAAGTTATCTACAATGTGCCTGCCACTATCTGTGAAATATTCAGTGAGTGGTTTGTAAACTTTAGTTTAGAAACGCGCATTCCTGGTGACACCGGCCCCCTTACTAGCTCTTTCCTCGGGAGCATAGTGTTCACCAACCAATTAATAGAACAGGCAGTTAAAAGCCTAAGACCTTCCACTAGCACGGGACCAGATGGCCTTGCTTCTATAATTTTCAAAAACAGTGGGTGTGATATACCCCTATTACTTCTTAAATTCTTCTGAATATCTATGGACACTGGCATTTACCCTAATGAGTGGAAAACTAGCTTCATAATTAAACACTATAAATCCGGTAATAAGGCAAACGTTCGCAATTACAGACCTATAAATATAACCCCAGTTGTCTCGCGAATCATGGAGAAAGTTGTCAAAGATCAATTGTCAGACTATCTACTTAGGGAAGATCTTGTTACAAGGTCTCAACACGGATTTCTCAAAAATAGGTCTTGCGTTACTTGCCACTTCGACTTTTTCAACTGCATCACTAGTAGTCGCGAAGCACGTAAGCTAGTTGTTGTTCTCTACTTCGATATATCTAGGGCATTTGACATGGTATCTCACAGTATTCTCTTTGAGAAGCTGTATTCATGTGGGATTCGCAATCCATTACTGAACTGGTTAAAATCGTTTCTAAGCAACAGGGTACAAATAACCAAGGTTGGATCTGTATTGTCTCATCCTAGGCAGATCACAAGTGGGGTTGTGCAAGGTAGTGTCCTAGGTCCACTTTTATTTACAGTATACATTAACAGCATTTGCAACTGCTTCACCTCAGGTAAATCATTCCTATATGCTGACGACCTCAAAGTCGTTTACTCCTGCTACGCTCATGAATTAAGCGATATGGTAAATAAAATGCATCTTGAACTAAGTGGTCTCGCAACATGGTGTGCTGAATCCTGTCTAAAGTTCAACATTGACAAATGCGGCTGGATTTGTATCGGCAACAGTAATCTTGAAATAAATGGGCGTAAACTAGCCAAGCTCAACTCAGTCATAGATCTCGGTATCAGATACTCTAGTAACTTAACGTTCTCTGAACAAACTGATTATGCCAGACGTAAAACACGAAGGCTCCTAGGATGCATAACTCGCAATTTCTTTTGTTGTGAAACTAGGGGCAAAGTTAAACTTTAGACACCAGTAACTGTTAATCAGTAAACGACCTTGAACGTGCCAATCACATGAAAGAGGCGGAAACTTATATTGATAGAAAAATGCATAAAAAAGTGATAAAACGGTTACAATGGGTCTCTTTCCCGAACATGGGAGAGAAACATTTCCCAATTCAGCATGGGACTGTCAATAGAGATGTCGCACCACATTCTTTACATTTATTCATCTAAATGACTATAAATGAGATCCTTTTGAGATCCATTTATAGCTCTTATTCTATTTTTCAAACGAGCCCAAAATCCTTCAGTGGAATCTGTATGAGTCCCTGTAACTGGATCCACGAAATCACTAGAGTGGTTCACTCTGTGAGGAATGTATCCCAGGGATGAAAATGAATCATAGCCTTTCCACTCGTCGGTATGTACAATTGATCCAGGTTTCACAAGTCGCTTCGTAGTAGGTACCAGAGTATTCACCTTCCCGTTTGCTATTCTTTCAACAAATTCTTTTCGGAGGGACGTGTCGTATAAACCTTTGACGCAAATGTTGTTCGCTCTTTGACGACCGTGGTTATATTTCTTCTTCACCAACACTGTCTCATCCACATGGACTACTACGTCGTCCCCGCCTAACAGCGAAGTAATTCTGTACATTTTCCACGAGGCGATGTCTCTGCAGTGCTGATACCACTAAACTGTTGAAACGATGCTGTTCTCCGTCTCGGCAGCAGCGGCTCTCACGGACTGTTTCAGTACCCAGCATCTGTAAATGTATAAAATCTGGGTTAGGGCGAGATGCGACCTAGCAAAAAAGTTCCTACGAAATATTACCCTCTCTAATCCTAACTCGAGCGACGCTTCCAGCATATTCCCCAACGATGTACAAAACCATCAGTTGACCTAGTAATTCTTTTAGAGTCATTACACAACCACACGAACAACTTCTCTCCTCTCGAAGCAAGCCTAAGTCCAGGCAATACTGAAGGACACTATCCTCCTCTTATCGCAAACCTAACCTTGTGAGGGCACGCAGTGAAATGAATCAAGCGCTATACAACATTGAACCACATTCGTGAATCTGGCTGAAATTATCCCGCATGTTCAAGGTCATTGATGAAGTGAGACGCTCAAAGGTCATTTTCGTCCATTTTAGTCGGTTACGTTGGATTGCAGTTCCGTAGCCGTTCGTTTACACATTGGCTTTACGTTCTGTTGGCATTTATAGGTGATTCCCATGTACTGATAGCATTCTTTTGTACAATAGTGCTGTTCTTCACACGAAAATAGCCACATTTTGACGTAGTCTTCATTGAATGACATTATGTCGAGGGCTGCAGCTTCTACAAGAAATAAACTATTTGTGTAGATGACATTACCCCCCAACTACCCCATCTTCTTCATTGTAGAGATGTTTTGACGCATTCAGCATGAAACACTAATCATTACAACCAATATGCTAAGTGTGTCGCAGTCAGATTAAATGATGCGAACACCAACATAACTAGCCAGGAAATGAGAATTCCTATCAATCCAGAAAACATATAACAAAATTTTATTAAAAATTATTGACAAAAAAAATTTACCGAGCGAAATTTCAACCAACATGCCGGATAAGTCCAGCCGTGAATCTCATTGGATAATTCGGCGTCGTTCGCTGATTGCTAGTTACTGGTGTCTAAAGTTTAACTTGGCCTGCGTTAGGATTAAGGTTAGGGCCAGGATTAAGCTTATGGTTACGATTAGGAATAGATTTATTGTTGATGTCATTTATTTTAATTTTTTATTATCCATGTTTTCCTGGTAAGTAGTCGTCCATCCTCCTGCTGGAAACCATAATAATTAAACCACGGGCTTTTTTGAAATACTGCAAGCAGGATGAGAGAGATAAACGATTCACAAAAACAGCTTATCTGTAATCATCTCGGTGAATACATGTACAGAAACTAATCTAACTTTATATTGTGTGAACTAATATTATTGTCCTGTGTAAAAATGTCTATCATGTAATTCCAATAATATAAAAATTTATAATTGTAGTTTGTTGTAACTACACGTTTAATGAACTTAAAATATCTATGTAGGGCGAAAAAGTGGGTGTAGGTTTTAGACATAGAAGTGCACTGTCATCTTTGAGCAGTCTGGTGACTGAGGAGATGAACACTGCGAGTGTGTTTGCATCGCGCACATCAGCTGGTAGTCTATTCTAAATGACTGAAAACTTATTTAAGAAGAAGTTATACCGCATGTAAGTCTGACGTGATCTGGGTGAAATTTGCTCCTAAGTTGGTGAATAGCGTTAATATTTCAGCTGTGATAGCGTAAGATGCCGTTGGCAAACGATTACCATGCGTTCAAGGTCATTGGAGTGTTCACAACCCTGGAATAAACCTTTATACAAATGAAAATGTATGAATTTATAACATAACTGGTCCTGTCTGTAAAAATAGCTTGCATTTCTTGAAAACACTCGTTTATTATTATTAGTCTACATTGAGTACAATTAACTTGTGATGTTACTACGAAAATGCTGACAAAACTATACAAGTGTATCACTTATTTTAAATTATTATCAAATATGGATATAAATCAAGAATAAGACTCGATGCCGTACACACCAAAGTTATATAGGGGAATGACTTCAAGCCTTATTTTTTTCCCAAGTATTTTTAACCCATCCAAAACATACTTGGGTTTTTTTGTTAATGCGAAGACAATATTTCTATATTTCTTGATGTGCTCCATTGAATGACTAGTTATCATATTGTTCCCATAGACAAAATGACTGCAACCACATTATTTAACCATGAACCAAATTCATGTAATTTAAATAATACTTATCCATGCCTGTACAATTGGTGTGTCCTACACAGGTAGGAAAAAATGTATTTTATTAAATTACTATTATTAAACATGCTTACTAATCGTATATGTAGTTTATCATATTGATGATGCCTGTAAACTGGCGTCCCTCATGTACAGAATGAGAATATATTATTATTATTGTATGATTTATTTCGGAGACCAACCACTCCTTTTGTTGCCTGTCTTTCGACCATTTCCAAGAGGTTGGCGTCTCTTCTAAGCATTAGGGGTGCAATAATATTATCCACTTCAAGGTGTGTTCTGACGTATTTTTGTACAACTTTAGAAATATCTCAGGACTGATTGCACCAAACTGTATGACCGCATATGCCCTCGCTACGTCCCCCGTGTAGTTAACGCTTGTGTCCATTTTTTCCATTAGAACTAGACTTAAGTCGGGCTCCGACGTTGTGCAGGACAAGCTTTCATTGCACGGGGTGTTACTTGCATTCTGAAGTCTACAGGTGCGTAACTTCACTACTTTGCACTTTTTCAGGTTGAAAGTCATGCCACTGGCCACCGCCCAGTCTTCCAGAAGGTTTAGATCTTCCTGTACCCTATCTGAGTCCTCCGAACACTTTATCGCCCTCCATATCTTTCCGTCTTCAGAGAATAGGAGAGTCGGGCAGCTCAGACGGCATGGTAGATCATTGATAAAAATCAAAAACATCAGCGGTCCTAGGATAGAACCCTGTGACACTCCTGATGACGAGCTGTGCCAAGATGATCAGACTCGACTGGGCCTAGTGCGAAATTGCCTTTCAGCTAGGTAGTCCTCTAACCATGAAAGTAGCTTACCTATACCTGCCTGGCTTATTTTGTGTAGGAGAATGTCATGGTGAAAAGTGTCGAATGCCTTCTCAAAGTCTAGGAGGACCACATTGACTGGAACATCCATATCCCAACATGATGTTCAGTCTTCCCAAGCTGATAGTAGGTTAGTAACGCAGGATCTCCCTTTCCTGAAACCGTTTTGGGCTTCATGGAGTATATTGGACCTATCGAGATATTCTCTGATGTGATCGTTGATAATACTTACCAGTACTTTTGATACCACTCGGAGTAGAGTTACTGGTCTATAACTAGTGGCATTTTTCCTATCCCCACCCCTGGAGATCGGAGAAAGGATGCTTTTTTCAACTCCCTTTACAGTTTTCCCGATTCCATTGAGTGTTGGAACAACTCTCATAAGTGCCCACAGAGAGCTTCGGCCCACTATTTCAGAACAGATGGCCTGATTTCGTCACAACCTGAGAATTCCCAGGTGTGAGTCGCTGCAGCTTTCTTAGTACTATTGCAGGGTTTATTTGGGGAGCAGCCACTAGGTCTTCCTCCAGTGAAATAGTAGTACCACCATTTTGGTCTGCAACAATAATACCCACATTGCTGTTCAGCTGTTTGGCGAAGGCTAAACTGAATGTTTCAGCCATCTCCAGACTAGTGAGATACTGACCGTTTTAGCCTACTAAGGCGCATGCCCCCTGGTTGGTTGGTTTTCTTTCCGACATGAATCGGTACAAGTTTTTTGGGGTTTGCTAAGAGTATTTTAGCAAGGTTAGCCTGGAATGACCTCCTGTCCCTCCTTGCTCTTGCATTGCACCGGTTCCTGAGTTCCAGGTGTGCATCGTGGTCAATGTGACTCTTAGATACGCGCCACGTAAACCAAGCCTTCCGCTTTGCTTGCAGAATACGTTGCGTGCCTCTCTTTAACCATGATGACTTTCTTTTGGGCTGTGTTGTGACTAAAGGGACAGTATCCGAGACTAATGTATGAATAATCTTAGTGTTCATCCACAGATAGCTTATCCCATGCTAAGGGCCAGTCTGCGTCGGACAAGAGCCTCCACATTTCAGCATAGTCAGCCTTGCTGTAACACAGACATGGTTGCGTAACGTCCCACTGTAAATCTTCATGGAGAACGAGATCAAAACCTATGACTGCACAGTCACTACTTCCTAGAGGAGTCATGATCTGGACCTTTTTGACGAGTAGTTGGTCACTAGTTAGAATGTAGTCTAGTTTTGATGACTTTCCACTAGAGCCTCACCTAGTGTCGTCTGCGACATTCTCAGTCAGTCCCGTGTTTCGAATCGTTCGCAGTAGATTTCGGCCAAATATTTCCTTATTATACCCTGAGCAAAGGTTTAGTGATGGGGCATTGAAATCTCCAGCTATGGTTATTTGGTCATAGCCCAAGTCTCGTATTTCTGTGATAGTGCTGAGCAGTAGCTGATTGTCTTCTGCCCCTCAGGTGGCAGATTGGTAGATGCCACCAAGTAAATGCTTGGTGTGGCCTATGGTGAAATGACACTATATGGAGTCTGAAAGTTCAATAAGTATCGGGTCCGTTGCGCGCACACATTTAAGTCGCCTGTCAAAGCATATAGCAACTCCCCCTCCTTCCTTATTATCCCTGTCTCTCCTGACCAGAACCATATCACCTATACTGATTTTATATATGATATATATTTCCTATCTATGTAGGACACACCAGTTGTACAGGCAAGGATAAGTATTATTTGAATTACATGAATTTGATTTGTAGTGAAATTACATGGTTGCTGTCCTCTCTGACATCAGTTAGTGAGTACATTCTGATAGTTAGTCGTTCAATGGAGCACATAAAGAAATATAAAAATACTGTCTTCGCCTTAACAAAAAAACCAAGTATATGTCGGATAAATTACAAATATTTGGGAAAAAAATAAAGCTTGAAGTCAATTCCTCCATATAACTTTGTTGTGTGTGGCATCGTATCTTGTTTTATGTACAAATTGGGTATTAATTTAAAATGAGTGATTTATTTTTATGATTTTGACATCATTTTTATTGCAAGTAATACCAGATGTGAATTCAACTGAATGCAGATTAATATTGGTCATTGTCAAGCAGATTTGTTTCACTGCACTCAAGTCACCCATAGCCCGCCATTTGTCACAGCATGGTTATTCCGTACGAGTAAGTTGATAAACACTTAGAAAGCTATATAGAAACCATTTTAGATCATTGACAGTGCTTGTATAAGATGCTGTACAGCGTCTTGTTATGGTGACAGTGGATTTCATCAGGGATGCTGAGCCATTACTAGCCAAACCTTGAGGGATAATATATGAGTAAGTGACTTCAATTGTTTCTCAGCTTCAGTCGGAATGTAGATCAATGCAACTTGTACTACAAAGTAAATAC